ATATTTCGTATCTCTTAGGCGTTTTGTCACTCACCGGTTACTGCAGACCTTTTGATGTAGCTGCAAATGGTTATTCGCGTGCTGAAACGGTGTCAGTGATATACCTTCAAAAGGCGAAGAATGCGAAGAGGATTTATGCTATATGTCCGCATATTAAATTAAACAGTGATGGTTATAAAGAAGAAGGAATAACATATCCATCGTCGTTTATGCAAAGTAATTTACTAACAGAATTTTACAATGAATGCGGAATACCGACATCTTGTTTAGATTATGTTGAAGCACATGGTACCGCTACCAAAGCTGGCGATCCCCCAGAAATTAATGCTATCTCTAATGTATTGTGTAAGAACAGAGATAGTCCATTAATGATCGGCTCTGTAAAATCCAATCTTGGTCATGCTGAACCTGCTGCCGGTTTCAATCAAATCGCTAAGGTAAAACAACAAACTTTCCATTTTTATTTGTTATTAAAAAATTTGTTTTTATTTCACGTAATCACATATATACTCAAAATGAGAAAATTTATTTAAAAATATTCGTAATATCAAATCAAAATAATAAAAATTATTCGAGAAAGTCATTTTAAGGAAGAGAAATATACTCGTAACATTATAAGTATTAAATTTGTTAGTGATTAAATTACACAGTGTGACGTAAAAAACATTTTTTCTCTCTCCGAAATGCGATAATACATTTCTCAAAGATTTTTTCGTGCTAAACTCGATGCCGTTGGCAAAATTTGTCTAGCACGTTAGAATTTTAGAGTAATTAGAGTAAATTGGAATAGGGCCATTAATATTGTTATTTATCACTTTTAACATTTCGTTTGTGGCAAAAAGGAAGCTGCGGTTTCTAAATAAATTCTACAGCATTTGAAAGTGACAACTTATCGCAGGACACGGGAAAACTGAGATGACTCAACACTCTTTTATTCTTTAGTAATACTTTATTCTTCTGAAGTCTCTACACGTTGTGTCTCTTACACAAGGCCAGACGCAAGTGCCGCTATGAC